GGGAAAGCACTACGTATTTTGTATTCTTCATTGATTTTACCATACTTAGAGTATGGCGTTGAAAACTGGGGAAATACATACAAAAGCTCACTTCAACCATTGTATATATTGCAAAAAAGAGCGATAAGAATTGTGCATAAGATGGGGTATAGGGATCACACCATTGAAGCTTTCATACAGTCTAAATTGTTAAACTTTTTTGATTTAGTTGGATATAAGACTGCAGTGTTTATGTATAAAGCCAGGAGCAATTTATTACCTGGTGGAATTCAAAAACTATTTAATGAAAGGGAAGGGGGATACAATTTAAGGGGTCAGTTAAATTTAAAAATTCATGCTATACGTACAACCAAAAAAAGATTTTGTATTTCCATAAGTGGGGTAAAACTATGGAATAATTTAAGTGTAGACATAAAAAATAGTAATAGAATTGATGAGTTTAAACATAAATATAAAGGTATGTGTCAATCAAGATATATGCAAGAACAGGCTCAATGATTAATTACATGGACAATTGTGGGTGTGGTGTATGAATGTTAACACTTTGTAATAATTCTTTAGTATATTACTTGTGTGGTGTAGAAGATAATTATTTAAGAATGTAATTATGTAAGAATGTTTACACTGTTATAATCTTTTTTTTAGTATAATACTTGTGTGGGTAGAAGTGAATCATTTACTGCTTGCAAACCAATGACGGTAAGATGATGCTATGGGGTAGGACTGGATAAGTCTGACTTCTTCCTACTCCATTCAAGCATGTACTAGGTATAAGCAAATTTATATTGGATTATGTGTATGTGTGTTGTCATATCAACTGTTTTTACATGCTTGAAAGAATAAATCAAATCAAATCAAAATCAAAATCAAAACCAGGTGTGTTCAGCCAGTCAGAAGCTGGAAGATACCATCTTAGATGAAAGTGGAATGAGGAAAGATAAAGTTAATTGATACCTTCCAGCTTCTGACTGACTGAACACACCTGAGCCAGGTAATCAGCAGCAGGTCAGGCAGGGATAGCTGAAAAACAAGCAAGACAGTGGCCCTCGAGGACTGGAATTGGCCACCCCTGCTCTAGTTCATATGCAAATGAGTGTGACAAATGAAGTTGCTTTTGCAAATACCTGCTAATGTAGCACCAGGTGCCAAATATTAATGAAAGGCTTTGTTGACTACTTTTGAAAAGAACTGTAAGTGCTGGTCACAAAAGGAGGGTAGAAGGTAGGGTTAGACTACATACCATCTTGATAGTGGCGTTTGTAGTACCAGGGTTGTCCCTCGCTGCGTTGTAGGAACATCTGCATACAGCGCCTCATCAGGTCTTCCCTGCCTGGGCGCATAGTAGTGTGAAGAGAGCTCTGCTGTTCAATTTCAATCAGTTTGCCTGCAACAGAAAATATATAATTGGGATTACACAAAGCAAAATTGCTAGTTATGGTAAAGGAATACCTGCTACCACAGCTTTTACAGCCCAGGCCAGTCTGACTATAGCCTTTGTATGCTGCTGTGCCTAAGAACAACCATTTCCAAAGGTCATGTCACATGTATAGAAAGTACCTGCATCTATTACAAATGACACAGTGGAAACTTACCTGACAGTTCATGGCGAGTGCTAAACCTCTCCGTCCTCTCTACTGCAGTGATACGTCGCGCCACACAGATCATACATGACTGCAAATCTGAGTAAAGAAACAACACAATGTTAAGTCCATATTTAAATGCACTAGAAGAGGAACTGGACATTTAACACTATTTGTGGGTATAATATTATTATGCACAAGAGATTCTGGCCCTGCACACTGTGTGTAAGCCAAAGCCACTGGGTAATGTAAACAAGTCTGAGAATGCAAATTAAACCCTACCAATAATCATAACATGTTTAACTGTTATACTTGTTCATCTATTTTTTCCATCAGGAAAAAAAAACATTACTGTTAACAATGACTCTACCTTCTCCCTCCTCCATCATAGCCCGAGGCTGAGTGAGGGCAAAACACTGCATGGTCTCATAGCGTTGGCCTCCAGCCCTCTCTTCTGGCAACGAATGACTCTGACCATGAACAAAGTTCACAAGCATGCGACAATTGAAGGTGTGACTCTTTTGCCGGGGTGCCTCTGCTCCCCATGACGCCCCATTTGGTGCTATGAAGAAAAAAAAAAAAAAGGATACTGGTAAACAGGTGAACATGGCTCTTTGCCTGGTGTGTGAGTGTGTGCAAGAGCTTTGAAACTGTTCAATCATCTATATCGGTGTGTGTGTGTGTGTGTGACTGTGTTTGAATGTACATTTAGGTGTGTATGATTTTGACTGTGGTTGTCCCAGCACATATATTATGTCTCACCACTGGACTTGGGTAGATTCTTGTGAAACTCCTCTCTGTCCTCATCATGGATGATGTTGTACACACTGGTGTTGATCAGCTCCTCCTGCCTGTACTGCAGGTACTGGGTCACGTTGTCTGACACAAATACAATGCTGCCCTCTCGGTTCACCACAAACAGAAAGCCATCCAGGGCCTAGAAGCATCAGGGTCACAAACACAGAGTTGAATGGAGGAAAACTTACCAATGCAAACAGCAAGAATAAAATATAACTTATTTGGCTACTATATTAACCCTATAGAAACCAGCTGTTTCTATTAACTCCAAGTGAGCAAAGACAGGAAAAAACACAGGTCCAGCATATGGAAGAGCAGCTAATTGGTGTTGGTCTTTTGTCCCCCGGTGGCTGTCCCCAGTCTGACCTGTAAGAGCAGCGGCCCCAGATGGTCCTTGTCAATGACCCCTTGACCAGTGGAGGACACATCCGCCTTCTGGACATCATCATCACTGCAAGAGCTCTTTCCTAAGAACAGATGAAGCACATTGCACTACTGAGGAAGAGAATTCATATTTTACAACTATTTGGATTTTTTTATTCTGTACTTTACATATTAAAAATTATTTTCACTTTGTATCTCAACATGAAAAGCTGTATGTTTTGCCACAATATAGGTTAATTTTTGTATTTTCCTTACAGTTATAATTTCAAGACAACCATTGTTCTGTTTACAGCCGGCTGCTTCCCTTTTACAGTATAATAAAGTACTTCTTCTAGCCACCAGGTGGCACAGCAAGTCATGGATGCATGGTTAGAATGCCTTTCTATTTTTAAAATCAGCATGTGTCTGAGGCTTTGTTAGATGCCACTCACTCTATATATCATGGTCATCTGTGGTGTGAGACATGAAGCAAGGCAACACTCGGATTTCACTCCATTTCAAATCAAACAAGCAGTATGAGAAAACAGATTTGAAGAAACAGTGACTGACAGACACTAGAGAAACAGATTGCAAAAGAAAATAAAATGTGTGAACAAGGGGAGGGAAAAGGTGTGTTAACGAGACAGACAGAAGAGAGACAAAAAGGGGCCTTCCATCATTCCCATCCTGTAACTATGGCAACCTGGCTGCACAATGCCGAGGCCAGCAGTAGCCAGCTGTGACCCTTTGGGTAGATTCCAATATGATTGCTCTCTTTCTTCCTTAACCACTTAACCTCAGAGATCTAATCTCAACTGAGCTAAAACAGGTGAAAAAAATAACCTCCTTTGCAACGCAATCATGTCAAATCTGCAAGATGATTGGAAAATGGCCTAGGGAAAGGAACAGGTCTTTATAAGGTCTGATTTTTGAGTTACCGTTGTTATTAGTCTCCCAGAGGGAAGCAGGGGTTGGCACTAACATATACACACTGTCAGCAACAGCCTTGAGCCATGAACGCCGAGGATTGGTCTCAATTACTGGTGTTCATTTACCCCCGCCTGATACAACCCACCAAAATGACTATCAGTCTGAAGCAGCCTGGCCTTGAACCAAAGACAGCACTTCATCACTGGCATCATCTGTCCTGCAGCAGGGTACCTGACAAGATTCAGCCTAACTTTATTCACTGGTTCCTCTCCAAATACAAACAAAAATAAACCAATGAATAAGAACATTTTCTGGTAGCTAAATTATAATCTGGTTGTAGTCAAACTGTATTTTTCACATGCTGCTTTGCTCATGACCAGGCATGTATGGTGTACAGGTGTTATATGTACAGTACAGTTTGTAGTGGTACCTTGCTCTTTGATTTGTCTAATCTGTCTCACGGTCTCCTTGAGGATGGCACATTTGTCAGGCTTGACATTGAAGCTGTCGATGTTAGAGAGGTTGGCAGAGATGAGCTCAGCCAGCTCCTCGATGTACTTGCTCTCCTGCTCCCTCCGACGCTTGTCACACCTGCCGGGCGTCAAGGAGATTAGATATGTTGTCATGACAACCTCACTTCCCAACGCCTGTCCATATGCGGGTCACCTCCGGGTTTAGATGCTTCAGACACTGCGTTAGCAGCATACACATGTTTGTACCATGAGGGCAAGAATGTTTACATGAGGCCAGAAGGCAGGAAGTGACCTGATGCACTTGCTGACATTCACACTAAAAACTGCAGCACATGCAACAGATTGATACATGAAGACAGAAGAGCAATTACAGCACTCACCCTAAGCCTGGTGTGTCACAGGTGGACAGTTTACGTTTGCGGTCGGAGCACAGTGGCTCCAACAAGTTGTCTCCTACGCCACTCATCTTCAGCACATATCAGCACCTGAAAAGAACACAACCCCACATCATATATACATAGAGGCAGTGCAACTCAATCAGAGGGAATCTGGGTGAATAATCAATTGTTCGATTAGCTGACAAGATCAATGTCATTGAATACTGAAGATAAAGAAAAATCATTTTTGGGGCTGTTTATTTTTTATGTTGTAGAGAAGCAGATCTAATGTTTGACACTGCTTCTGCCTGTGTGTCACACACACAGTTTCCATGGAGAGCAGGTGGGAGATACTATGTCGGCAGATTCAGCAAAATGACGTGTGGTGTTACTTTACTCAGTTGGACAACATAGTTGAGTGTTTATTATGTGGAATGAAGCTATCTTTCCACGGCTCTACCAACACGATGAAGAGTCATTTACAACATCACTACAAAAATGTGGCTGCAGCAGAAAAAGAGAGTCAGAGCGTCACTGAAAAAGGACTCACCTGTTTGCTGCATAGTTTATTTATTTATTTTTTTGGTCAGGGTGGAGGACGTGTGATAAAGATGACATCATGACTAATGACTTAAATTGGCATAATTGTCCCTAGAACAAACTGAGAGTGTGGGTTAATATGCTCATACGTGTCAAAGGATAAGTGTGGATTGGAAAGTGCCCTCAGCTGTCAGGTTTTTGCAAAGTCCTCTCAAAAAGCACAGGAAATGCAGACAAACCTTAAAAGTTTCAGCAAAATACCCATGTTATTGAGAATATAAATGAAGTGAAATCCAGTAGAAGAGAAGACTGCAGGTTTCTACAGATTTATGACAGTGGACAATCCAGTTAGCAAAGCAACCTTGGTTCATGCTTAGTGCTTGATGGGAATGAAATCTCATCTGTTCCACTGCGAGGAGCTACTGATGATGATGTAGTGATTTGAAGCCTCAGGGGAGATGGGTCATTCTGCGTTCAGCCAGCCTGCCCGCTAGAATATTACCAGTCTGCTAGCAGCAGCAACAGACGTACATACTGCATATACAAAACATTTCCAGTACACGTACATGCTCAGGCATGCTGCAGCAGAGAGATGGGTGCTAGTAGCTACTGTCCCAGGCACATATTCACCAGCCTGCCTCTTTGCCTAACTTCTTGGGAGCGCACAAACAAAAAATAAACACTGCTCAGGCTTGCGAAGCCTAGAAACAATCCAAGACCCGACAGTTTATTCCAGAGACTAGAAAGCATTATCCCTGTTCCGCATTCTCTGCACTCTCCATACTAGGTTACATCCACGGGGTTGAACTGCCATTTCCCCAATATATCCTCAGCCCTCCCTTCTCTCCCTTCCTCCCTGTGTGTAGCAGTACTGGGCTCGAGGCCCTCCCCTTGTTTTCTTGCTCTGGCATTGCCCTGCATCTGACCCCTCAGAGTTCATGTTAGAGGAAACCTCTATAGCCAGCCACTAAAGTCACTGCTCCTTCCCATTCCCACCCAGAAACATACAAAGCTGTAGCATGTGGCTGTACAACAAGACTGTTGTACTACAAGCCTATCCTGGACTTTTGTGTCTGCACATGTGTACGTGCACATGTGAGTTCTCCTGAACACAGAGGCAGCTCATCCCAGTGTGCAAAACTGTAGAAAGGGTGGGAACCATTATGCAACTCCTTTTCTGCAACAGCAGGCTAGGACATGAAGCCCACCACTATTACAACTACTACTGCTACTACTAAGAGCACCAAGCCACAAATGCACACTCTGCACCATAAATCTGCATTGCATGCTTTTTGTCTGTGTACCTTTCAACACCCCTGCTGAAATCTGCCTGTCCTGCTCTGGCTGTGACTCCTCCTGCCCTCCCTACTCTCTTTCTTCCTTCCTTCCTGGTTTCTGTCCTAAGGCTCACCTCTGCAGCAGTGGAGAAAGATGACATCAGCCTTCAGCCAGCCTCACATCCTGAAACAGACAAACAGCAGAGCTGAGGGCTACTGAGAGTCTTCCTGAAAACAGGGAAAGCGTTGCGAGATAGTACAGTCTCCACTCTGGTTGTGGAGAAGCAATGCTGAACACCAGAGTTAATCAAAATAGGCTTCAACATGGAAATACAAATAAAAAAAAGAACAGCTTATGGGTCTCTTTGTTACATACAACTATAGGCAAAAGAATTACACTCTCATGGGATTTAGGCATTTGCAAGTTATAACATACTGTGTTTTTTATCTTGACTAGTATAGTATAGTTCACTATTTGACTCACAATGCACGTTCAAACGTTGTATATTTGACATGACTGAGATCTGAAAACTGCCAGCCCAAGTAGACAACATCTCCAGAGCAGAGTGAGAGACTGCGAGCAGCATCCCACTAAAACCACAGATGAGTCTCAACAGGCCTCACAGTATGCCACACACCTAAATCAGCTTCATCTGACAACATGAAACTTGCTCAGGAACGAGATGAGATGTACAAACCATCAGATTCAGAAGCATTCAATGTCACGCTTATAAATAAAATGGTCTGAACATCTAATAGACTGGCCACCTAGGGTTGATGTACGAGTGTGTGCGTTTTCCTACATATGCCTCTTGCTCACCTTGGCCAGTTCAAACCGCAGTCAAGCTCCATTCAGGTTCTAGCATCACTTCAGTTTCTCAACATCTCCTGCAAACAGAGACACAAATAAAAAGGTCATGAGCTGTGGTGTTCTCTGAACGTCTACACGTCTCAACCTGAGTCAATAATGACAGTCCTTTGCTTCCTTTGGAAATAGCACAAGCGCTTTATACATTTTGCTTTCACAGAAATTCATGGGAGAAAAATTTATTTCTAAAATTGCACAGGAAGCACTAGCAGACAGCATCCTGTTTGCGTTCTCCCCTCAGCCCGTTCCACTGCGTCATCACTTCCCTTTCCTGGAAATGTGACCACTCATCCACCCTATTTACATATTCTGTTTATCAGGCCGCTTCCCTGTCGTCCTGATACCCACTCACACAGTGTACTATGTTTGTATCTGGCTATCAGAGGCTTTAAAAAACTTAGCTAACTCAGACAAAAACAAGATAGTGTGCAAATAAAGCCATATTCAGAATATTCAGGTCAGAGCGTTGCTGCAAAATGTTATCAAATGGTTTCAAAAAATAAAACTCTGATGACTATTCCTCACTGGGCACATGCAGTAACTAAGCCAGTGGTGCTTATCATCAGTTTCTTTTTAATAAGCAGTGCTTACACTAGTTTGAGAAACATTAGTCAGACACTACACATGCTTTCATTACCTTCAGCACTTTATCATCATACTCATAATAATCACAGCAAAGAAGCCCCTGGGTTTTGTGTTTACTCATCATAGCACTGGATAAGTTTTCATCAAAGCAACAGAAATGAATCTTTCTCAACTTAGTCACCAACATCTGTGTACAGTTTATCCAGTGCATACATCCATCCATTATCTATAGCACTTATCTTGAAGAGGGTCACGGGGGGCTGGAGCCAATCCCAGCTGACATTGGGCGAGAGGCGGGGTAAACCCTGGACTAGTCACCAGTTCATCACAGGTCTTATCCAACACATTTTTACAATATCATACAACTACAAGATCATTTTGCTCAGGATATCAAGGGACCTGATACAGAGTCCTAATCCAAATGCTGGGAAGACCTGGTCCTCAGTGTTTGAGTACAACCTGCTCCAGAAGTACTGACCTTTAGCATCATCAGTGTACTGCCAGACATTCTGAGATGTTCTTTCTTTCATAAAATCTAATAATCATCTTCATATTGCACAAAAAAGGTAGATTAATGACTTCAAAGGGTTAAAAAAAAAAATCAACTAATAAACTATCATAACAGTCCATTTTAATTTGGTCTCATTATTCATATCTCTAACTCACAGTCCGCTTGTTAAGTGTGACATAACATTCCATTTCCGGGTACAAACTCACCCAGACTCAAATGGCGGAGCCTGTCATCCACTACACAATAAAGTGAGGCATCTTATAACCTTGGATCAGCGGGGGCGTGGAAGAAGTGAGGTACGGAGTTTAACAACAGTGGCCACAGAGGAAAAGAAATAAACACAAGGTCTGAAGATACAGAGTGAGACCGGGGAGTTTAGTACAGTCTGAATTTGTGCTAAATCTTAGTTAATGCAGCTTTAACACAAAGAATGAAAGGAAAGCACTCCCTTTCTGTCAACCATCCAAACATAGTTTGAGAATTCTGAGTGGATTTTTCTACGCTGCCCGGCCGCGTTGACAGTCACATCTGTACAATTCTATATACACTTCAATGCAACACTTTCACCTTAACATCTGTTATAATGACACTCAAAAAGTTTAGGTTTTTTGGTGAAATTGTCATAAATATATAAATGTTTATTAGTGGGGTCATAGTTAAAGGCAGTGTTGTAGTGAGCTTCATTATATTCAGATTTGTTCCTAATAGTCTGACCCTCTCATTATGTAGCTAGGGAGGACAAAAATACAGACACCTCTAAATATAATGTAGTCCAGTACAACACTGCCTTTAACTATGACCTCAATAATAAACATTTAATGAATTTTTACTTTTATGACAGCTTCACCAAAAGCTGCAATATTTCGAGCTTCATAAACACAGATGTTAAGGCGGAAGTGTTGCCTTGAAGTGCATACAATTGCACAGGTGTACCTAATAAAGCGGCCGGTGAGTGTACCAAAGCAACTAATCAGCATTTCTGGGAACCAACGTGAATATTTCCGAGCATCTTTTTCTCACATGCAAGTTATTTTACAACTTTTAACTCTCCATTTGGACATTATTGTTAAACTTAGTTAATACCTGCCTTTTCTACTGACACAGATGGGTCTGAACATGCACCACACAAGCACAAATAACTTGAACTTGAATGTGAAATGTAGTTCGGACCAGGACATATAAGTGCAAGTATGAATACGGACTGCAGGAGGTGGAGGAGGAGTCACAGCATACCGAGAAGAATAAAGAGGGGGAGGAGGAGGGAGAACAGGGAGGGGGATGGGAAGAGAGAAGACACACTGCACTGAGCTGGATAGTGCTGCTCTGAAAATACTGGCAGCAATGATAGCTGGTTGACTTTGACACAGTATACTTGTTTAATGCCTTCTCATTCAAATATAAGAAGCCTTAGTGAGTCCAATTTAAATGTCACATACGGCTTTTAAAGTACAAAGAAATAAACAAAGCAGTTTTACAACATGAAAACACTCGGGCTACTTTAACACAGAAACTTCAAGGTTTCCCTTCAGGGTTAACTGCACTGATAAAGCATAGATTTTACAGCCAATACTGATGAGAAATGTTTACGGGGGCGACCTGTTGCTCAGAAAAGCCTACAGCTGGAAAGTTTGCCCAAATTATGTCCTGTAAATTATACACTTAAGTACTGGTTCTGATATGAAGTCAGAGTCGATGTCTCTTTAGTGAAGGGTGAACACTGTGTTGGTGGTGCTCACTCAAACTGTAAGTTATTCAAATCAACAGCAGCATGACGTAAGCATGTACAGTTATGTGGCCATGCTCTGTGTTTTTATTGATAATATTTCTGTACATCACTTGAAGGGTAACTGCTTCTTTTAACTTCTCAGTGAACGATCTCCGACAGTAAATTTCCTTGTTCAGCTGACTTAAAGGAACTGTGGGCAGTAAATGGACACATTTCAATTGGCCGACAAACCTATTAACTGTGAGGGGCTTTGCTTCTTTGTTCTTGAAAACTACCCACCAACATTGCAACCACTCCCATACCAATCATGTGTTGCAAAACAAGTATTTTAAAAGGTCACAAATGGAATGTTTATCTTGCAATACAAGCATTGTACTGTACGCCTCAAAGCTCTCAGATCAAGCATGACTTCACTCATACTGAGGAAATAAAGGAAGCGTAGTAACCATCTCCAAAGACATAGGCTATCTGTCCCCTCATTAGCAGCCTGTCTGTCCCCCTGACTGACAGACTAAGGTACATTGAAGGAGTCTGGGCCATCATGCCATTTTAGTTAGCATTATAAAAATATATCATTTTGATATACATGCATTTGGCAAAAGGCCAGAAGGACAGCAGTGTCAGTCAGTCAGGATCAGAATAGTGAGGACATTCCTGTTCAGACTGAAATAAAGCTTGCAATCTGAGCTGCCAGACACAAAGAGTGGCAGGCCCAACAATAAACACACCATAATATAACTTCGAGTGAGTGAGAGGGAGGGGGTCAAACTGTTCAAAGTTTGAGAGTATATATATATAAAAAAAAAAAAATACTACAATGAATCATGGTAGATTTGATCTACAAGAAGCATCATTACTTCACTGCACTACAAACACACACACACACACACACACACACACACACAGACAAGGTAATAAAGTAACAAAAAGGTGCCCACTAGAGTTTAGGACACCAAGTGCAAAAAGGAAACAAAAGGACAGAATGACTTCCTGTTTTTCTTCAAAGAAACTCTCCACCTCCTACTGAGCATACAACCAGCTATACACTGGGTGTAGCTGGAGCTCACACCAGCCCCAGCCTTAATGTCTTTTTTAAAACAACAAAGCCATCCTACGGACTTACAAAATGATGCTCTTGGAGAGTCATGAATAAAATAAATAAATAAAAAAACTACAATAAAAAAAAAAACAACAACAACTTTTAAATATATTATTTGGGTCACGTGCAATATTTCCTCCCCTCCAAAAATGCACTTTGAATTTTAGCAGGATCTCCAACTATTTACATATTGCTGTTCTTAAATTTCAGCAGCTCTGCTCTGAATCCTTGCCATAAAACACCCATAGTGTCTGACACTCACTGCTCTGAAGTCTAGGGGGTTATCCCAATTCCTTTAATTGCATCCACATTTCCCCTCATTTGCATCCAAGTCCTGTCTACATAAGATGCGAGGAAAAAGGGATTGAGGAAACCTTATTATAAGGATGGTTGCATGTATCCTTGCTCATGGCTCCTCCAGCAGCCTCCTCTCTTCTCAGAGAAAGAATAAGAGCTGTGGAACATCTATCAAGATGGCAGGCTGGAAGGATTTCCGGGTTGGGCACCATTCAAAAAAAAAAAATCAAATAAGGGAACTGGGATTTAAACTATGCTAGAAGCAATCATTTTTAACCTTGCTAGATGGCAGGAAAAAATAAGGGCATTATGAACCACATTACTGCTCTTGCTTCATATAATTTAAAACCAAATTTCAGTGTGTTTAGTTGCCATTTATCATTTTGACATATGCAAGATATCCTCTTAATTCTGAGACAAGATAACTTCCAGATTTTCCTAAAGTCGAGTGCAGCCCTATTGTTGGTGAATATTACTTATTAGCTGTTTTTCTGCCAACATCACACAAGACTTTAATGAGATGTGCTTATTGGGACTAAACTGGAGCCAAAGGATTTGATGGCAAAAACTGAGTTGAGGAGGACATATGTCAAGCACGTGTGTACAGCTTTGGATTTTGAAAGAGTGAAGCTGTAGATTGTTCAGCCTCCATTTAGTTGCAGAGGCAGCTGTGAAATTCCAGCAAGGCTCAAAACCAAGACCAAAACAAACGTCTACCTATAGTGAGTGTGAACTGGTGGAAAGCAAAGATTTTTCTGTCTCTTTCTTCCTCTGCATACTTTTAATGCAAGGACCCACTGAA